TGTACATCAATGTTGTGATCAATTGACAGCTGTCAAAACAGGATATCCGCTGACCAGTGTCACCTGACCGTACCGCGGGCTCAAGTGTCGACCCATCGAGGTCGAGTACTTTTTTGAAGTTATCCGCTGACAAATTACCAGTTTCAAATGATCGCAGGCTCAAGTCTATTTTTTCCAATGATTCATATGAAATATGTTGTGTTTATGTCACTATGGCCCCGCACTGTCAAGATTTTGATTTCAAACTGACCTCGGACGCGAAAATTCAGCCACTTTTTTAAAAATAAAGGCGGGGAAGACCTTTTCTTACCATGGTCACGCGTTGGTCACGCTCTACGTCCAATTTTTGTACTCTGATTGGTCAAAATTTGACAGGTGAGTTCATGCGGAAAATTTATGCAGCATCTTGAAAGTTGTTTACTTTGACAGAGTTTTGTGTCAACTTGTGATGTTTTTAACTGTCTTTTTCCACTGGATGTACAAAATGAAATACAGCTGCTATCAAGAGTCTTCTGTTATCCATGGCTGGTTTGTTTATTGGGTTTTTGGTTGAGAAATGCGTCGCTTGTTAAAATTACGCTCAATGCGGTAATGTCTCAAAGTTTCATTTTCACGTGAACAGCAGTAACTAACAATGCATTTGACATATGCAAAAATACTAGGTATTGTTGTGCACGAAAATATGAAACTTGGAGACAATAACCCTGAATAATGAGAGGCTCTCACTTGTAAACACAAAATTTCTGACAAAATATTAGCGAATTCAAGCCCTTATTTTACTGCCTTACAATATATCAATAATCTTGAAACTAAGAGGTCATATTAAAGGACGGTTAATCTCAAGACTCCTAAATTTTCTAAAAAATTTATCGAGCGATTTAAAAATTATTCGCTAATTTGTTAAAGTAGACCGAAATGTCTACATTACCGCTAACAAGAGCGCCTTGATACATACTAATCAAATCCTTCTCTCTAGCAATCGGCTGAAGGTATCTCAATGATTTTTCACACACGTTTTTAAAAAGATTGAAACTACTATGAGGTGAAATTGCATGCCAAAAGCGCTTCGTTTAGTACAGATAACAGTCGAACATCAAGATTGTCCATTTTTTACCGTATTTCTAACCATAAAAACTTGTTCCCAAAATATCTCGATAACGCTCTTACAGATTTCGCTTAAACTTCACGAACATCGAGGCGGCTGTTGTAGGAAAAAGTTCCAGTAAACGATTTTGGAAGAACAGTTCCCAGTGCCGAGAAATCATGCTGCAAGCAAAATAGGTAATGGCGTCATTTCGTTGCTATGACAACTCCGATGTCATTGTAACCCTGATCATAACAAATTTTCATCTTTATCTAATACAACTGTGGTGTCAATTTTTTCAAATTTTTGTTTATGGCGACGTAGTTTACGCTCAAACTTGGGAGGTATTGACCTTGAAAAACTATATCGAGCCACCTTAAGTTAACTGATTTGTGGATTACAAGTTCATTGTTTGATTTAAAATAAAAATTTATTAATGGGAGCTTCGCTTTTAGCCCTGGCTAAATCTATATATTAGCTTTGTCCTATATGCGATCACCAGATTCCCGAGGGGAGACATTACATAAAAGAGGGCTTTCTTCGGTGTCACGATTGCGGAGCAGTTACACACAAAAACGCGAAGACGTTGGAAACTAATTTCTATTCCCCTTCTACAGAGGAGAAAGAAGATGAAGATGAATTAATCTCCATTCCTGTGTATTTGACTCTTTTTGTCATTGTTTTTTAATAAAGTTGTTTAAAACGGTATCTCTCTTGTCTTTTTATTGCTAGCAATTATGAGTCGCGTGTTTTAATTGATCATTGTTAAGTTATTTGTTTTATAATAATACGTCAAGGTTGCTCCCTCGAGGTTTTTCCTGTAGAGCTAATTTGTATTCAACTTTGGGCTTGTAAACTCGCATAATTAACTGATTAACCGTGCGTGAAAATGACAAGACTTTCATTTCCTCGAGATTGATGGGAGAAAACGTCAGACAAACTTAGAGAGTTTTCAGCTCCAATTTGTGTATGTTTTGTTTTTATATATCCGAGTTCTAGCGCTAAATAAGAAGACGTAAACTAAATTAAAATGAAGACTTTTCAACTCTCTTTGTGTTTATGTATATCTGAGTTTTAGCGCTAAATAAGATATAGGAAGCCGTTTCTCGCGTTGCTAGGTGATCGCTTCTCTTATTCCTATTTTTCTTTTAATAGACGGTCCGAAAAACCGGGCTCAAGTTACTTACCGGGCAAGTCTAGGCAAGCCTATTGTTCCTATTGAAGTAGAGTGACGCTCATTAGAAAACCTATACCGAATTAGTATGCAGGAAGACACTGACTAGGCACTTAATTAGTATGGAGGAAGGCACTTCTTTCCGAGGTGACGCCATAGACTCGACCCTTATGCCTATTAATTAAGGGAAGACAGGGGAAGACAGGGGAAGACACCAATGAGGCTTATCTTTCAACATAGTATACTACTTGCCAACGAGGCGAATTCGTTTATCTTTTGTGGAATGTGCCTATTCAGATCTTCTTTCATAATTTTAGAGGTTTAAAATGGATTTGGATATAGAAAAGGATGGCACCCAACTGCAAAACAACAACTTTGGCACATTCTAGGCTTTCACTTTTATCAAACAATAACAACATCGCTTGAAGCTTTGTTAGTAAATATGAGCAAGTTAGCACTTATGTGTCATGGAAAATTCCATTGTATCAAAGCTATAAACGTTAGAAAGAAAAATATAGTTCAAATGAGGCCTTTGACTGCTGAAAATAAAAATAATAATTAAATTCCGAGCAACAGCGTCATCAGGGATAAGAAAAATATTTTGCGTGGTAATATACATAAGCGAAAAATTGGTGTAAGGTAAAATGTGTGAAAAGCGCGCAAGAATGGGGCGGAATATATTAGAGGTATAAAACTATAAACTTGAATAAAATACAAAGATCTAATAAGCGAGTGTCACAGGACAAAGAGTCTCTTGAAAGGCATAATTATAGTCTGAAAAACAAAAGGTCCGCAAATTCGTTGCATTCCTCACGGACGTTTTGGGCTGTCTCAATGTAAATCGAGCAGTAAAAACACATGCTGGTTGACACAATCTCTCGAAATACATAAATAAATTTAAAAAAAAAAGGTTCGCAGATACGCTGCATTCCTCGCGGGAGGTGAGGACTGGCTCAATGTAAATCGACCTGCGAAGAACACGCTGGTTCTCATATAAGTTTTGAAAATATAACCCTATGCCTTGATCAACTACCGCTTAAAATTCCGTTCGACAAGGAAAAGAGAACACTGAAAACCCTGGTTCTGAGTCGAGAAGCGAACACCCTACCTCAATATAAGTCGAGCTGCAAAGAACAAGCTAGTTCTGACAAAACTTTGAGCGTAAAACCCTATTCCTTGATCAGCTGTTGCTTTAAACACAATTTATAAAGCAAACCAGAGCATTAATTTCCCTTTCAAACTAGAAATCGAATTAAAGCTTGCTCACCAGTTAGGTCCTCTTGAACAGACAACGAACAGCTGCACCCTGAATCACCCAATCTCGAACCACGAGTTGTAAATACAAGACCATGACGTCACTACCCGAATATGGTGTCTTACTTACACCCAAATATGGTCAAAAATGCAAATCTTAGAGAGTTACGCAGAATTTGAGAGTTTTTGCCTACATTGCTCGACGTTATAATTCTGTCGCCGAGTCAACCTCGCTTCTTAGCTCGGTTGCCCCGCTGGCAATCATTAACACTCATTTCTTTCACGCGAACATATGAAACCACAATTGACATGTTCCCAACGTCAGTGGCTTCATAGCTCAGTTAATAGAGCATCGGACCGGTATCTCAACGATTGACAACAACCAAGTTTTTTACAGTCATGTTTTTCGAAACAATTTGCATTTTTCCTCTTAAAAAGAGGTTTTATTTCTTTTTTAATTTATTAAATTATTGCACCACACTTAATCATTATAAGCAATAATGTATTTCATCAAATTTATCATGGTAATCCAGGCTTATTAGTGACTAAACTGAAAACTATGTTCGATCTGATTGAAATCCCTTCCAAAACGACTAATAAAGACTCTGGAGCGCAGGTTCATATCAACGGCTTACCCATTATGATGTAGCTAATAAAGCGTTCTGGTTGCATGTGTTAAAATCTAGTGAGGCGTTTGTTCTAGACATCCTCCAAATTATTCTTAAGTGTCTTCCAACGGACGTTTAAGTTATCAGCGACATGGTAATAAGGGGAAAAGGACCTTCTCAACACTATCGAACTATCGAACTTTTTTGAAAACCTTCTTGAATAGAATATTTCCTCACAGGCCCAGCTGCAATATAGCTACTCAATGAATGTCATTATACCATTTCAAACGATATCTCTGTAGCCTTTAGGGTTTATTGTGTAAAGAAGTCAGCACTTCGGTAGCACTGAACTCCACTGCCTGCACCATCACTCCATGGAGGATTGCTGCCAATTACCCTTGTACCTTACTCATGTATATATTAATAGGGAAAACTCTAACAGTAAATGAAGATAACGTTTCAAATTAGCGATGAAACTTAATCACTAAAATCATTGCGCATACACTTATATAAGGAATAATCTTGTGCAGACATGATCGAGGCTTCCAGGGCGGTTCTGTCGGCCATTGGATGCTTATGTTCACCTTACATAATTACTGTTGCCCTTTGGTGTTTTCTAATTTAAAGCAATGCTTTTTGGAGGTTCTCTAACTGGGTTATTTTTAATGTTTTACAACAGGCTCAAAATACAGCGAAAGAACTCGTTTAGCACTTTCGTCCGCCACTCATAAGATTTCGTATCTTTCCTCCCGGGAATACTTTTGTATCGCCTTCATGTTTACACCATACAGACAATCTTCTTTTTCCACTCTTCCTTTTTCCTAAGAGACTTGACTGCGTGAAAAGGGTTTTTTGCAAAGGAATTCGACTGTAAAGCAGGCCACATAATCATTTTTAGCGATGCCCTGCCTGATCTAAATAACTTCGCGTTGCCAAAGGCTTTTCCACTTTGTTGTTGATGATCGCGTAGTTAAGGGAATTCAGCTCAGATAATATTTCAGTTAGCTGAATTTTTATGTCTTCAAGGGATGCATATTCCACTTCATCACCACTGTCTTCAATATCAGAATGTTCCGGTGACACTAGTGGAGGCACTAGGGCATTTTCCTCCTCCTCAATTTCATCTGGTCTTTCCTTCTTCCACACGGAGTGCACAAAGCTAATAAAGGTACCGGAAGATTTCTTCTTTCGAGAAACAATTTTGGAAGAATTTTTTTGCAACAGCTTCACTGCATGGAGTAGCTTGCCTGGGAAACTAATCATCTTACGTAAGACGGTTTTGTACATAAGCCGTCCAAGTTCTGCATCTTCAACCTGAGGACCACATTTCCCTTTTCTGACATCTTCGTAAGGCAAAACCAAAATAGCGACAAAAATGTTGATGAAAACGAAGACCATAGCGATAAAAAATAAAAACACGTAAAAGTACGCCAGGACCGGAAACGTCTCATGCATCTTTTTATTACCGATGGATTTGCCAATGGCTGCGTAAAGGAGTACCTGCAAGCATTTAGAAAACGAAGCAAACGAGGCCAAATAGGGTCCAAATGTCAGATACAAAAATTGTGTAAACGCAACACAAGCAACGAAAAACAGCGCCGAAAACGACATAATTGGTCGAGCGGAAGTCTTGAGGGTTCCGTACATCTGGCCAATGTGAGGATTAAACCGAGTGAGCCTCAACAGCTTTAAAGTTATTAGGAAAATTGCCAGTGATAGCAACAGTGTTTCCACGTCCACCAAACTTGTGATAGCATCAGAGCTGAACGTTTGGAATGGGTTTTTCTGTATCCTCTTCACATACTTGGAGGTGTATTCTGCCTTAAAAAATGACACACATATTGCTGCTATGGAGATCAACAGCGGAGTCAACTGCACCCAATTCCACACCTGACGAAAATACCTTCGTTCTCGAACACACTTAACTATTTCAATAACAACGAATATAAGAATAACAGCAAGAAAAAAAAGCTGGCATGCCTCATAAAATGACTTAAAACGAGGGTTTGACGACGGATACAGCGAAATCGCCCTCACGTCCACCGAAGTAACAGCCTGACCAGTTGGCAACACTTCATATGCGTTTCGGACGTTACAGAAAAGCGACGTCGATGGATTAAACAGCGTAAACTCTATAAATACAGTAGCAGTACGTTCATCAACCCAATCGTACTTCTTTAGTTCTCGTACTACGCGTGAGGCGGTTGCAATGTTGTAGCCTAGATCAGCTACAAACCCACCGCCACCATACTTCCTTTCCACAGCGTAGTGAGAAAGGGTATCAATCTCTGAGGAACTTTGGTATTCCCATGGCTTCGGGAAGAAGTCAGTTTTTGTTTCATGATGGCTACTATTTTCCAGTTGGGTCCACTTTGGCCCATAAGAACTTCGGTCTTTGGTATCACTTGAGTATGACCGACGACAGCCTGCGTAAAGGTCTCCAACAGCTTCATCCATTACGACTGCAGGGCATCTTATGTCTTAATGAAGGCATAGGGTAAATTGGTTAAAAATAATAATTACTAAAAAGCGGAGATTTTCGGGCAAGAAATTGGGGAGCTTAAAGAGGCTGGACTTCACTGCTGTCCAGGTCATTTTGATAATATTGCCAATTAAATCCTTATTGTCAATTGAACTTAGCACCCTTGCTCACCATCAAATCTCCAGTAGCTCAGTGGGTAGAGCATCCGACAAGATCATGTAGGGTCGTGGGTTCGAATCCCATCTTGGGCTCGGATTTTTTCCGAGTTTCCATTTCTGTGCCCAACAAAATAAAATAAAATAAAATAAAATAAAATAAAATAATAATAATAATAATAATAATAATAATAATAATAATAATAAAACACTGCCTCATGCCAAATCAATTTGTCCCTTGAAAAGCTGTTAGACTAACAAATTCTCAAAAACTTCAAATATCCGTTTCAATCTTCTTGAAGTCTAACCACCCGTACCTCCTTTTACTATTTGCTGTGTTATTTTAACCTTTTTTTTTACTGTTTTGAGTTGTTATTTTTATGTTTCACTCAGTGTGGTTGCAGATTCCCCAGTTTGAATTTTGATAAATTTCGTGACACAGCTCCTGTTGGCAACGACGACGGTGACGGGGGCGAAAAGGTCTCCCTCTTATTTCATGTCGTTCGACTCGTCAAATGCTGGTGAATTTCAGACATTGAAATTTCAAGGAATGTACCTTGGTTTGAAAAAAGGGTTAGGAAATCCCGTTGTTTTGTGTTGACGTCCTCCAAAAAAAGGTGAAATTAGCTAGATTCTCATTGTTGTTGCGCAGTGACGGTAAGAAAATTCACAAAAGAGATGTGATGCGCCTCCAAAGTTGGTGTTTTCGTAATCTTAACATAATTGCTTATGTGGGCGTTGTCTTTGTAAGCTTACGCAAGAGGACGACAAAGTCGAAAAAATGTTTAGCTCGGCTGCAGACCAAATCGTGGCTCGAATGTGGCTTTAGCCTGTTAAATTCCTGGATGCGACCGGGCATTCTACGCGATGTGCAAAGTTGGTGTTTTGCTAATCCAAACATATTGCTTATGTGGGCGTTCTCGTTGTAAGCTTACGCAAGAGGACGACAGAATTGAAGAAATGTTTATCTCGGCTGCAGATATTCTCTAAATAGCAGATGTCATCTACAGAGTGTATTCTTGCTGATCTTCGTATGTCTTAAGGCATAATCTCGGCTGTTTCTTCTCCGCGAAACGTCCCAAACAACGCAACCTTGTCTACAGGATTCTTGGTTACCGTTCCTTTTTTTTTTTTTTCTGACGATGTCATTATTTATCAGGATAGTTTCCCAAATTTGGTTTGGATTTAAGCCAATCAGAATAAAAGAGGAATATTTTGAAAAATAACGTCAATGAGGTTGGTGTGTTTTAAATTTAAATATAAACCAAACTCACCTTTCTTTACTCTTAGTTGTCTGAGTCGTGGCATTCCCAACATGAAGGTTTGCTTGTCACTTATGAATCCCTCTTTGTACTCAAATGGCTGCCCATTGTACCATTTAGTGTTGTACAGGCTAGGAAGCAGGTCATTTTCAGTCCAATTCCACAGAGAGTCCTTACTGTCCACCTGATAAACAAGTACCGGTCAAGAGTAACTTAAAATTACAAGTAGTCGCTGAAAACGACTTCATGAGGCCACAAAACTGTTTCTTGATTTTTCGGCAGTTACGAATTTATTTTTTTCAAAGTTGTCTTTTAAATTTACCGTCGGTTGCATCTAAGCGTGGACAAAAAACATGATCTAATAGGGCGCCAGACATGACGTGTTTTGCCGCCAAACGTTTAAAGTTTGACAGCCCTTAAAGCAAACTGTCGCGCCAAAGGTAATTTGTTTAAATGTTTTTGATTAGCGCGTTCCGCTCATATTTCATTTTTCCCGACCTCCACGCATATTTCTCGCTTAGAAACAGCACACTTGCCTCCAGAAATTATTCTTAACGTCTAAAAATTCTTGCAAAAAGTATTTTTTTTGAGCCTACTCCAAACTTTGATTGTTTGTCGGCAAAACATGTCATGTTTGCCTACAATTACAACATGTTTTTTCGTCACGTGTACACACTTAGATGCAACCGACAGTAGCTTTCGACAAGAGAGATGTTTTATGCTTGCCTTAAATAGCAAAGGTGAACGATTATGAAACGCCTAGATCGATGCCCCATTCACACCAAGTAATTAAACTAAGTTTAACAAAAACAACAACAACAACAACAACAACAAAAAAACAGTATAATAACAAAGTACTAGGGCACAGCACACTTCAAATAAACTTTAACACGTTATGTACAGCCACAAAATTTGCAAGTGATGATAGTACAGTACCGTAAATGATCGATTAAACGCCGCTCTGGATTAAACGCCGCACCTTCACCGAAAATAATTTGATAAGCGCCGCTCTCGAAAAAGCGCCGCGACGACAATTCGGGTAAATAAACGCGCCACCTTTGTTACAGCGCTTGATATAAAGAGATATCAAAACCGTCTCTTTTGAGAAATAAGACCTCGACCAACTCGTGACTTCTAAAGCTGGAAACTCTTGAAACAGGATTCATATAACAGTTCGAGGCGTGCATATACTATATTTAATAATTATTCGCCGATTGCGAAGTTAATATTGTTGATTAGTATATACACACTCAGTGATCTTGGTAATTCAAGCAATCTGATTGGTTAGCTATCTCGGACCATGACGTGTATATATTCACCGCGCTAGGCGGTGGATATAAAGCAGAACGAAATTGCTGTCGTGAACTGGGTGTTTTGCCACAGTTTCATAGTTTAGCCTTTTTGAAAATACACGAATATCCAAGTGCTGATGACTTTGAAGGCAAGAAAAGGCTTCATGGTGTTTAAACAGCGTGATTTATTGTGAAGTGGCTTACTGTAGGTGACTTTTTGTACGCTCGAAGCTATGTTTACCACTTCAGAGGAAAACGAGGTCGCTTTGTCACTGTTCTGTGATTTCGGGATTTTCTCGCAAGACCAATTTTGCCTATAGATAGAAGTTAATTCATGGAGAAAAGAGGAAGGCAATTATTTTCGAAAATTGTACGTGCCAGCAAGTTAACAAGGCATAGAACTTGGGAGATAAACAACGCTCACCTTGATCGTAGCCGCTGTTTACAGCCTTTGCATTAAGCGACAAAGAAAACTTTCTCATTCAGGCAAAATTATTTAGTGTATATTAATAATATACACGAAAAAAATAGTCAATTCTGATTGGCTGAGAAACGAATGCAGTTCTCCTTTAACACGAGTGCAAGTCTGAACACTAGTGCAAATTACAAATGGTTTCTGATTGGCCGAAAAAACAAAAGAAACCAACGAGGACCAATCAGATAAGAGCTGTTTTGACAACAAAATTCAGTAAGAAAGTGGCAGCGGTTTTCAGCAAATAACGATTTGATTTTGCAAAAAGAAAAGAACAAAAACGGTGACAACCACATGAAAGCCATGACAGTTACACTTCTCGGCATTTGAATGAACAAGGGTACAATTTTCCATCATACCAACAGAGATTTTAAGCCACGAATGTTGTCCGTTGGAGGAGAAAAGTGTCCGGTTGCTCTCTATAAGTTTTTTTGTCCAGCAAAGATCTCTATTACAACATGAGATGGTGTGGTTCTTTCTACCTGAACAGTATCAAACGAACCCGAAACCTTGATGACAAACATCTGGTTCAAACTAAACCAAAGGGCGAAAATACCATGAGTAACCGATAATGAAAAGAATCTGTAAATGATACTAGCCTTGAAGTTTAAAGCGCAAGAAAAACAACAGACAGCAAACATTGTACGCTCACATATCGCAAAAAGTCACAGGCCACAGAAGTGTAAATTTCCTCGACGACTAGGATGAAGACGACGAAAAAGACCGACGACGACTCTCTGTTGCAATATACAAACGAAATAATTAAAACCACAGCGCTGAGATAGAGCAAATATTGGCAGTTTCCGACATCACAACAACTGTTGTTCCACTTGCCCATCGATGGCAGCATTAAAAGAAAACAAATTACCTTCTTCATTTTCGAGTTTTAAATCGCAAAAATATCTCCATGAATCCAGCCGGTCATGGGGGTCTCAGGAACGGACAATGATGAAAAGTCATTAAACACCTCAGCAAGTAGTATCTTTCATCTTTGGCTGCTCGAAGCGTTCTCCTGGTTTCAAAACAGCAGCATACTTATTGCCGAGCTTTCTTAATCGAGGATGACTTTAAGAACATCTACTCGCCCTACGGGCTCGTGCACTTTTGTTGCTCTTTGAAAAATTTACGCGTGCTTATTTACTCCAGATTGAGAGAAAATCATATCATTACCCATACAAACTGTGCCTAGCTAGTACGCGGCCACTTATTTCTCTTCATATTCCCCTCAGTGTTTTACCTGTAGTTGAAATTAGTGCCGCTCTCATATAAGCGCCGCACCTATGACAGGGAAATGAAATAAGCGCTGCTGAGCTCAATCGATCATTTACGATAAGCTGCTTCTTTAAAGAAACAAATTTTTACTGTTTAGCTTAGCAGCTTTTAAATGTGTTTATGGATTGGGCTGAATGGGACTGTAGACTTATTTTACAACCCCTTTTTGGTGGACCGAATTTATCCGAAACTAAAATATTATATTTCGGTCTATATTTGATTTTCTGCGACAGAAAATGTGACGTCATAATTTGATATTTTCGTGTCAAAATATAAGGCAATTTGATTGGCTCAATATTTCATATTTTCAGGCTAACAAAGTTACTACAAATTAACCAAAATAGCCAAATCTGATTATCCCTCTGAAGGGTGACCCGCCGTGAGCCTTTAAAAATGGTCTATTTATGTCATCGATTTGTCACAGGGACTTACGTTGGTTGCAGGAAGGTAAGATGTTTTTCAGCATTCAGAGCACTCCACATAACAAACCTTATGGTAAAATTGTTTGCCCCTGGAATGCAGATTTAGTTAAAAATATCGATCTAATGTTCGCCCCGGGGATTCGGATATAATAAGACATAGCACTGTCCTAACAAACGATTTTTCCAGCCCCTGAGTAACTTGTTATTCCTTAATTCCTATCTATATTAAAAGATATTTTCAACACCGTGGTAACTCCACTTAATTCACCTTATCAAAGTGACCTAGAAGGCTGATTGTTGAATTGGTGAACTGGTATCGGGATGAGTCTTGAGCTGCATAAACAACGAACATGAGGGCGATACTTAAGACCAGAAACGACGCAAATTCTTTAAAAGCCTGAGCCATGTCCCAGTTTTTACTGCAGACTTCCTTTTCAGTTTTGTTGTCTTCGGTGGACGTAGCCTTGATTTGTTTTACCTTTGGGCTCTGAAAAATAGAAGGTCCCACGACAGTTTCATGCCCTGTTGGCTTTTTGATCAAAAGTGATAGGACTATCGCGAAGGTTACCAGCTTGACGGGTTGATTGATAAGGATATCTTGAAAAATGGACACCAGTATAGATGTCAACCATGGGTTGGACCTATCTCCCCCCCAATCGAGGCTATAGAACACTGTGATTGTGGCTCCAGTCACAGCAATGGCAAGACAAAACAACCAGGCGATGTAAATAAAAAACGGTGGAAGGAAACCCCGATTCTTTGGTTTCTTTCTTCTCTCTACTGTATCATAGAATTCACCGCTTGATCTTATGTTCTTGAACATTAACGCCACGAGTAAGTTAGGTGGGAAAGCTATTAGACTGCTTTGAATTCCAATTATGACTTGTGTCAAGCTCATGACTAGAGGCCCAAACTTGAAGGTATCATCAGTCTTAGAATCGCCTTTTTCATAGAACATAGCGTTTGTAGCCATGGCTGTTAAAAAAAGAGAAAGACAGCAAGATAAACGCTGGCATCGTGTGAACGGGTTCTGAGGGGGTCGTGTGAACAGTGAAATCCAAATGTGTCCCTCACTTAAGTTTCGCGCCGTTCTTCCGTAACAGAGAGGTTTAAATAACACAAGTCTGTCCCTTTTCCTGGGTTCAAGATAGAGCTCAACAGAGCCTGCTCTTTTGTCCAGCGAAAGCCACTGGTTAGCAAAAAAGTACCACTCTTCCTCTGTTTGCTGGTTAGTTACGACAATTTCTTGAAGAAACCAGGCCGGATTGGATCCCTTGTTGTCATGCCATATAAGGATATCTGTAAGGTTTCCTAAGGAATTCGGCAATGCAAGAATGAAATTATTGACACTTCCTCGAGAAAACAACTTTTTCCTGGCCAAGGGATCTGTCAAAGAAATCATTCCACTGCTTCCCTGTTCACCATTTATAATGAGTGCAACATTTGCAGATGTCCCACAGTTAATCCACATTCCTGTTGCGATGCTCACGTGGTAAACGTTTTTGTTGGAAGAATCATCGGTTGAATGTAGCTGAAAGGGGGTATCCACTATCTCTGTGTTTCTTTTGCTAGTGTGGTCATCCATATGTAAAGATTTGGTTATGAACACATTTGCAACAACCTAAAACAAAGCACACAAACACTTAACCTGATATTATCAAAGAACAACTATTTAGATAAAACACTTAAATTCGCCCACGATCAAAGATATACTGCTCGTTCTTTCCACAGCAAAAAGAAATGTACTTGAAACTTTTTTTTATATAGGGGGCAGCGGTTCTTTAGAATTGTCACGCACTCCTTAAATTCTTTATTTGCTGTTCTCTAGGATTTCGAATGGTAACATCATGGGATTTCGTCTAAAGATACAGCCTTTACAAGTGGTAACGCACTCATCTCTTTGTGATACTCTCTGTATTTTCGTTGAAATGTATATCATCTCACTGGATCCCTCAGTTCTAATGACAGGATAACCGTTGCAGAATGAAGCCAGTGACTTAATTAAAGTCTGAAAAGCCCAATGGTCTAACTTCACTGCTCAACGACAAGACCGTATGAACTCAGACACGATCTTAGATCCCAGCCAGTATGATCTTACAACCTAATTAACCACCCCAGTTGAACGTGTGCCAACGGGATAGGAACTCGTGACCTCATGCTTGGCAAACCAGTGCTCATTCAACTGAGCTAACCGTGTGGTGGTTTCAGTCTCGCAGCCTCCTACACTGTTGAAGGAAATTTAAGTTACTTGTAATGAACTGTTTATTTACAATATTTGGAGCTAAAAACATACCTTTCTTTTGTCGTTCTTGTCAGCTCGACGAGCCAGCACGAGACCGATGAAGTATATGCCAAATATCATGCACACAGTAGCAAGCACGACAAAGTCTTCGGGGTCTCCCTTTTCTAAAGTTTCCAAAATCGTGTCAAAATCGATTGGGTTCGGAGCTACACCTCCAAATGCTGACAGATGATTGCAGATACATTGCAGATTCTCACTGAGTTCATCCGATCCAACCTTTTAAACAGGAAATAATAGAAGCTTTTAGTCTGGCGCAACTCCCAACATTAATGTTTTTCTGGGACTCTCAGTAAATATTCTAGTCGCCAAACGTGACCGAAAAAAATTCATTAAAAGATGCCACTAAAATTTGGTCGAAATTAGATAGTAGGGAATTCGTTATGCTACTGGGCCGAGTTGTTCAAAGCTGGGTTAAGATAACCCAGGGTCAGTTCGAAATTTGAATTCAGATACGAAAGCTTAAAAAGCAAATTCAGTTTAATTATTTTTGTCAACAATTTGATGATTGGCTACTCTAAAAAGAATAGGGAAAATTGTTCGAGAAAATGCTTTTGATGAAAAGAAAAGGAGACCCGGGGTTAAAATTTAACCCTGGGTTAGCGCTAATCGGCCTTCGAACAACTGGGCCCGGCTATTTATTTGAACACATACATAATTTCAAATCAAAAAATCTATGCGTGAAAAGTGGACTTGCTAGCAGTGCTAACGTAGAAAACGACCTCATATTTCGTCAGTGATAATAATGACCGTAATGGCGATGGTCCAAGTATGTGATGATAATGATGATGATGATGATGACAATAATAACGATACTGATATCAAACCCTGTCAGTGCCAAGTGTGGCCAAAGCCGAAAATTCAACAAAAATTCCCAAATTTCGTTTTGTAAAATTTTGCAAACAAATAGCACCACTTGAAAGTGCGGGCAGAGAGGTTTCATTTAAATGGTCACATCATAGGATTTTCTCTATAGACTAAAAAGTTAAAACTGCCTTTAGGGACTTCAACATTCACTCTGGTAGTAAAAGGATTAAAAATGTACAAGGAAACAACAACAACAACAGCAGCAAAAAGACCAACCTTGCATCCTTCATTTGTCCAATCCTGCTTATTCTCAGCCCAGTAGAGACAGGTCCCAATTTTTACTGACATCGAGTAATTAACGTCGGTTCTGCTGTCGTACTTTGGGACTATTTTTGGGATAGGAGTAGTGGGAGGTTCTTTCAGAGTAATCCACCAACGCTTCTGTCGTACGTGGCTTTTTACAGCGGATTTTAAAACATCATGCTTTGACGGTCTGTTTTTGTCATCCCCTAGACGGATGCCTATGTAATGATCTCCCGTTACATTGCTCGAAAATGAAAACATATAGGGGCTGATGGCACAGTTAAAGAAGTCAGTTCCGAGATAAAAATTTGCACACAAAGAGTTGTCAGAATCATCAGGAATTTGTCTTTTAAAGGTGTAGTTGTTTGGTTCTGGTTTGACACCCGCACTTACAAAAACATCTAAAGATGCATCATTTTCTGGTTTAATTTCTATAAAAGCGGTGTCGTAAACACTTTCTAATTTAATTTTGTGATATCGAATGCCACTGGATTTAACAAAAAGATGATCCCGTGCCCTTTCCACTTTCTTGGATTCATTTATTGGAATGAACAGTTTTATAGGCTCACTAAGATTGGAGACGTTAAGGCGTAATCCATTCGTCCTCTTTAAATCCAGACTCAACAACGAAGATTTGATTAATGTGGAGGTATCTGTCCATACGTATGGGTTCTCTCTAAAAGTTACAATCTAGGTTAAAAAGAAATGAAAAACAAACAAACAAAAAAATGTGTAGCGTTATATTCTGGCATGTAAAGTGAATTAACAATGGACATTCATGTAATATGTAAGGTCTTTGATGTGATGTGCGACCGGTGAACGTCGCTTCGCAGCTCCAGAATGATATATATAATATATATTCTATCAATGCTGGAAACGTTTTGTTCAGATGGTCTGTGGCAAAATATGCGAAAAGCTATTGTTCCAAGTAAACGTGAGTAATTTATTGTTCAGGGAAACTTAAGATAAACGCTTAGCACCCGAATGAAGGTGAAAACATGAGATGACTGCTATCAATGAAAAGAGTGGGATAATTTAACTGTCAGTATTAATTATAATATGGGATCGCTTCGCAGATCAGCCCAGGATATTAAACTCAAACAAGTCGTTGGCAGACATTTTCTTTTTAACACAGGCAGCCCTCTCCAATCCCCTAAAATAACCCTTGACACTCATCAACTCGATGAAGTCTATCCCTGAAGGAAAAGGGTCCTCTTTTTCATAGCTTGAAGGTTTGCAAGAATATCTTTAATTCCGCCTTTCCTGGGTTGTTTCTTTAAGCGTTTTGTGATGGGACAATAAAAGAGGACAAAGATGTTATAAAAGGAAGGAATATATCATGAGTTTCGTTTTCCGTCATTACGAGTTAAAAAAAAAAAAATACAACTGTGCTGTCAGGACAGACAAAATGCTTCTTTACGTAACGTATAGATAGCGGAGTCCATAATAGGTTGTTTTTGTTACTGCCTTAGTTTTCTTTCTACTGCAAATTTTTGTTGGAGTTTTGGCGGCTCTCCGAATTTGCGGGGGTGTCTATCAGTTGTGAATCAACAAACTTAGCCAGTATGCAAACAGGAGAAGTGAGCAGTAAAAACAGGGTATTTCGCTCCTGGCCTACACGTACGATTCTTGTGATTTCTGAACAAAATGGATCTTAAATTCCAAGATATTGTAAACTTACCTGGACACCGACACTTGTTAATTCGTTTTCGCCGTTGCCAAACAAAACTTCGGCAGATGGAAACGTCACATTGCCGTCTTCCTTATCCCCACTTGTAAAGTTCTTGTTTCCCAGATTTGCTGGCGTTTGTCGCTGAAGTCTCATTCTCATTATATGGCTGTTATAGACACTCTCCTTGTGGCCAGTGGTCTCAATGGATAGAAGTGCTGTGGCAAGAGTGTCCACCAACAAAAGGGCTCTCTCAGTTACACCTCTAGCCTATCATAGAATAACTTACAGTGTCAGTTTCCACCTAGCCCTAAAAGGGACAATAACATTATTGCACTTTGCATGAGCTAGCCCACGAGAAAAAAACAAAAAACAAAACAAAGAAAAACAACAAAAAAAAAAAAAAACAAATGCAAAAACAAAACAAAAACAAACAAACAAACAAAAAAAACATTGTGAACTATATAACAATTCCGGGGTTATGTATGGTTTGTATTACCAATACCATTTAATTGTCACTGCATAAGTTAGGATAGATCTTATGCATGAGGTATAAAATCTGTGCGAAACACCGAAAAGGATGTCTTTTGGGGCTATGAGTTTTATTGACAGTAGACTGACCAATATCAATACTTCACAGCCATTCACTCGATGAAGGGTGCGTTCGATAAAATGTCTGGGCTCAGTAACAGGCGCTTTCACTCCTTTCCCTCCCCTCCCAAAGTTCCCTTCTTTTTTCTCCTTTCTTTGCTCGTTTCTCTCACTTAACGCAAAGGAAACGGAGACGACTGCTACGCAGTCCATCATAGTAGATGCTATGATGAGCTGATTTAAGGATTTTCTGTGTGGAGGGAAAACATTCCAGAAAACCGTAGGATAAAGTTTGCTCAAGGTTAAGATAAACATATAAACCTTACCTGCTTGCCGGATACTTTGGGAGAGGCTTCCAGTATATTCGACAATCCTTCGAGAGCATTATTGCCAAGGCTCTTTTCCACCAAATCCTTGTTTTTCACAGCATTTTCGCGAAGGAAAATAATTGTATTGTTTAGGATACTAGCAGTGTCCTCCTATTAAAAGGAAATCCACGAGATTAATAAAAGGTTATAACACACTTAGGGCTTTTCACAAGTTGCTCGGCAACTTTTTGGTAACTACTCGTATTTCGAGTTACTTTTTTGCATTCTGAGTAATTTCTTTGGTTATCCTCTAACTCTGAGATATCGGAGCAGCTATTAGTTCGTAAATTGACCTTTATGTCATATCTCACATTGTTTTAGTGGACAATTTATGAATTTCCTGTAAAAAAGGGAGCCAAATCCTTCCCCATGGGGGCATATCATGGGCGCAAGTTAAAAGTAGCCGGGCTGCTAGGTCAGCGGTTTTTAGAGAAAATTCAAAATGGTGGTGCGAAGATTCACACTTTACTTACTCGAGTGTCTAGGGTGAAGAAGGTCATTCAACAATTTTATTAACTAATTAAATTTTTGGTTTTAATTGAGGATAAAGTTTTTTGAGCAACACTGGTCTCGTCGCAAAATTGCACAAAAATGCTTAGAAATATTACTTTTGTTGTACAATTTACATATTTTAGCATACATTAGTTTTTCGAGCAACTTTTGAGCAACTTTCCAACTTTCGATTGTTTTTTGAGAAACTCAGATTTGAGCAACTTTTTGGGAAATTACGGTAAACTTTCTAATTTAGAAAATCTCGAGCAACTTGTGGAAAGCCTTAGTCACACCCATCGTTTAAAATGCTAGGTGTCTTAGCATAAGTTGAATTCCAAACATAATGGTACACGTAGACTTGAGTTATTTAACAAGTCTATATTTAGGCATGGAAATTGTTTCCTTTCGTCTGTCGCTACCGATGAGAAAGATGGATGAGGAAAGACTGAAAAAAATAAACTTGATCCGGTACAAAATTTTCAAGTTTTAATGTTTTCCCTGTAAAATTCACCCCAAAAATATTTATATTTTGCAGGGGCGTAGCGTCCATATACGCACCTACGCCCGTGCGTACAGCTGAGATCTGAGGAAAAATTTTTTCGCATTAAATTTGCTGGCTAATAATTTCATATTTTCACATTATACTGGCGTTTTTTATTAGAATTCCCATTATTCAAGCATCGTTCATTCAGTGCTGGCCACTAATAATGGCAAAATGCATTTGAGTCTTAAGCAAAAATAGGAAAAAGGCCTCATGTACCCCTCCCTCAAAGTCAGCCAGCCTCACCAGTTTTCCCACCCCCGCATGTATTCTTGAAGGAGAGGTTACTATGCCATGACGTGTGGCTTCAGAACAAAACGTATTTGCCGTCAACGGAGATTAGGAATATACTTGTGAGGTCAAACAGTGAAGCCCCAGTGATTGATTTTCCAAAGAAACTGCTAGAGAATCCTATGAATATTTCTACGACTTGAGGAGCGTGATCACTTGCTTCTGTAGTGTTTTCGTGTGTTTCGTGAGACAAAGTACACACATATGGCTCGAAAATCGATACACGATTACTTCAACGTAATTAACAAGACAACTAAACAACGTCTACATGCACTGCCGAACGTAGCTTCAGTAGCATGAAGAGACTAAAATCTCCTCTGCATGCGAAGTACGATGACGGACGAAAGATTAAGCTCCCTAACAATGCCTCATGTACATAAACATAAGAACGTGGATTGACAGGTTAGTAAAGGAGTTTGCCCGTCTTAGGGGGTCGACGCCTCACCCTTTGCCTGTGACCTGTCTTCATTGTTTTTGTACAACTTTCTACTGCATTTTTGCCGCATTAGTTATTGAAAATGCCCCGCAGAAAAACCAGGAGATGGCATTTCCGAGACCCCAAATTTCAAAATTTTCTGGGGGAGCATGCCCCCACACCCCCCTAGATGTAAGCGCCTTTGGCGCTTAGGAAAAATTAATTCTCGTGCGTACATCTTCAAAATCCCACTCTACGCCCCTGTTTTGACTAGTGTTCCCTAATGAAATTTGTATTATATCGTCTTCGAAACTTTAGAAGAGCTCATCGCGTAATAGGCTGGCAGGCCATATAAAACTAAAGGGGAGGAGAATGTATGCCGGTTTAACTGTCATTACCAATTGCTTTAATTAAAGCAGAGAGTACCAGCACGCTCTGTATTCCTCTTTAGATAAAAGTGCGAAAATTATCCCAGTGCATTTCTTTAAGGGACGTCGCTAGTGCGTCGAAGCAAGTTTGTATCAACGAAAAGAGTGGATTTCGCTAAACTGGGAAGCCCTATTTGCCTCTAGTGAATTATCGATCAATTTAATACTTGCCAGGGTTTTAAGAGGAATTCCTTCCCTTTCTCGAGTTGCCAAGACAGTAATATTGGTAAGCGAAGTTGCCAAGCTAATATCTGTGACACTGACTTCTGCCATGGAACTCAAAATTTTGTCTTTGGTCTGAAATGATAAGAGGAATAATAATAACAATGGCAATGATAATAATTATAACTATAAAAGTAAATTACAATTATCATAAAAAATCTCCCAGAATCCTTTGAGGCATTTTTTTAAAAAAAGCTTTATAACTTTGACAATTTATACGTAGACCAAAACAAGATAACATTTGCCGTAAAATATCTTTCCATGTCACATCTAAGGTAATGACGTCATCGGTCATGTGATTATTTCTTGTTGTTGTGACAAGATTTCCTTAACGAGTTGAAAATAAATATTTGAGATTTTCGTTGTGTGGGGCATTTAAAAATAACCAGTTTACGTCCGGCATTTAAAATTTAAGCGGGTAATGAACATGCGCGAAAAAGTCGGGAGACTAGGCTGAGGGCTGCAGAGAGTCAACCTTTTATCAAACGGCTGCGAAAATTTGCAGGAAAGTAATGTCCTACCTGATAATTTTTTTCATGACCGAAAGAAGGACATGACGTCATCAGTCACGTGATCAAAGCGTTTTGAATGCTTTAGTTCGTTTTTAAAGTACCTTTTTTGTCATAAATTGGCAAGTTTTTGCTGTTTTTTCAACAATTCTTTACACCGTTTTGTCCCTAAGCAATTATTATTCCATTTTCAAAGCAAAATCAAACGTCAAGTGAGCCAGAATTTTAAATTTGAGTAAATTGACCGATATTGAAGGTTAAAATCGAAAAGGAGACCTACTCTTGAGACTTTTGTAACATCATTTTTCAACTTAACTATTGGCGAAATAAATGTTCAACGTTAGTTAATAAAGGAGAACTTTATTTGGCGACCATATTGTTTTTCTTCATTCCGGGGAGAGAGGCCATGTAGCAGCTATTCTAACCTTAAAAGCCAAACGGTTTGCTACCCTAACCTAAAACAATGGGAATAATGATGAACAGAGTTGTGTTAATGTTTTCGCCGATCGATGAAAAGACACCTTACGAGCAGGGAAACAATCGCACGGTCATACTGTTCACTTGGTAGCCGCGCGATTGATAGTTCATGAATTTCTTAAATCTTCGGGCTGGACCAAGCCTGAAAGAGTATTAATGTGTTTATTGTGAGCTTTACGTCTATCTTCAATCAGTTAAAGATTTAGTTCTACACAGAAATAAATAAATAATAAAAAAAAAACGAAAAAGTCATCGTTGAAAACTGTCAATCACCGCAGAGGAGGGATATACACCTCTTTCAAACAGTCCGGAATATCCCCAAACTTAAGGACAGGGCCAACTGGTCACGCGAAACTGTTCAACCATTGAGAAGGCGCACTTTTGTTCACCAAAACATCAATCCAGTGATCAAAAATTGTTGGGGTGTTCGAATATTCCGGGCCGATCGCAAAGGCCGTGGCTTCACTGGCATGGCTTGCAAGATTTGATGTGTGACAATAGCCGTAGAGAGTGTATTAAAATTTGTTGAGATCGTACAAAACAGGTTTGGTACCACCTATTAACTTCTGCAGGACAAGAATCAAAGAACCAGTCATTATAACAAGAGTAAAAAGTAGTTCAAATTTATCAATTTTTCTTGTTGTTGTTGGCTGTGTGTGTGTTGTTTCGTGTTGACTTCACGCATCTGGTGCTTTCTTTGCTTGCTGTCGTACCTGCAAGGTTTTAATTTCAACCCAGATTATCAGTGTTCAGTGAGTAGCAAAATAGATCATTTACAGTTGAAATTTGCCCCTCTTTCTTTGATTTTTTTTTTAACTGTTGATGACAATTTGGAGAATCAAATGGTATTAATAAATCTTTTCAGATTTGGTGAATTTCAGAAACAAGGTGGTTATCTTTTTCCTCGAAAACAATAGCTCTATGACGTCACAACTGTCCTTAAATTTAGGGATATTGCGGAATGTTAAACTATAATCAACATTTACAGAGGTGGTTCAATGGATCGAGAAGTTAACTTTTACCTGTAACTAATTTTGAAGGTCCGGATTCGAATGCCCGTGCCCGTAAAGCAAAGTTTTCGTAACCTCATTTTTTTTTTAAATCTTTTTTTTTTTTTTTCAATCTCTTTGTTACACGTGTGGTGCATATAGCTAATAACATAATGTGGTAAATTGAAAGCAAAAACGTTTACAGGAATATTAAAAAATGCGGTGTGTAATACTGGACATTGTTATCATTACCCAGCTCAATCGTCGATTTTCACACGTGCCTAATTTAATTCGAGAAGTATTACTGCTTTGAGATAGAACGTCTGAATCAACTAAATTCGACAGTTTCAAATTAAACACGACTTTTGTCGAATCTGCGACTGAAACAGTCGAAAATTCGACTTAGGTTCAAATTAGAAGTCGCATTTCACATGTGTCGTATATAATTCTTTAATCAAAGAAACCCTTATCCATATTGGATGAAAAAAAAAAAATTCTTGACACTGGGAATATTTACAACAAACGGAGTTAAATTCGGCACCATCATATCTAACGTCTGAATCAAATGCGGTATTTAATTACTTTCATCGACTAAAATGTGTTTTCGGCACTCATAAGAAATACCACGTTTGAAAGGGGAGCAACATGAAATAAGTTTCACCTCAGTGGTTTGCTGGCTGTTATAAAGCTATTGTTTTCTTTTCAGTAATAGCAATTCGTATCTCTCTCTGTAAATCCATTTTATTAATCGGCTGGTGCCGCGACTTAAGAATCAGCTGTAATAGTTGATTTTTCTTTCTCTTTGACTTGATTTGCATGTCACTGGACGTGATTTGTATATGAAAAAGAGCGATCAATTTTCAACCATCCATTTCAATAAAAGCAAATGGAATTTTTTCTCACTACAGCGGACAAACTCGAACCGTGACTTCGTCGTATAAATATGCGGCACCGAAGAAAGACGAAAAAGCTAACCCTTTTTGATCAAATTATTTTAAGGTTTAAACTTGACGCTTTAATTATATGGTGTAAAATAATTATAATTTACTTTACAGGTATCACTTGTAATAATAGTAATAATAATAATAATAATAATAATAACAATAATAGTAATAATAATGATAATGATAATAATCACCTTTCTGAGTCGATATCACAATAATTAACAGATAATGGATAGTGATAATTATGATAAGGAGAATAAGGCAGATCGAGGATTCCAAGAGACCTGCGCGACATGACAATCTGAAATAACATGTTGAGGGAGGGTACAGAGGGTAAATACCTACCTGATCGTCACTGGAGCCAAGGGAATAAATTGCCAAAGTAGTCGCGTCATGGAATTTTCCATTTTTCAGTAAGTCATCGATCGTCTCTGTCACATTAGACGTTTTGGACGTGTTGGACGGCTTCACCTTTTTAAAGAAGAGCAGTCGAACATATTATAAGATACAGTCTGGAGCTTTGCGATCTATGAGTAATTGTTTAGGTCATTTAATGCAAGACTTGGGTTAAGGCTACTTGAAGTAATTATGGTGTAGTTTTCCTTGAGGTTCTTTCATGGGAGAAAAAGGACATTAAGGTCATTTCATGGCTCTTGCAGAGATTGGCTATGGAAATTGCAAAAATAAATGAATAAATAAATAATATAATGAAATAACTATATTTTCCGCCACAAAGAGGTAAGAACTTCTGGAAGCGGAACTATTGGTTTGAGTATGGTATGCAGTAGATGAGCCAAACTGAATGACCTTCTAGAGAACAGTTCAACAGGGGATCTAAGAAAGCATAGGCAGGAAGCGGGATTAAAGCACGTGGGAGCACCAACGATCTGTATTCTTTGATGTAATTGTCATTCAACTTGATGCCGAATTGTAGAAGAACTTTAGAACCATAATAACAGATCTATTGTATCCACGAGAACGAGAATGAGCGTCTGTAATCAAGGAGAGTTCACGACATCGAGCATGTCAGTAACATTCATTCACACCTGTGGCCTTCACTACAACTAGCATCACGAAAGGGGAACAATATGCCAAAACCATATCATGTATTAGACCCAGGATCACTTTCGTACTACTAACGTCTACATTCATTTATCTCAGACGTTGTGAGAACTGTGTGCGAAATGTTAAGAATGTTCGAAGGAGCCATCGATGCACACTACCTTATTTTAACCATTTGCCGAAATGATTCTTTTCTATAACTAAATAACCCTTTTTTGTCAACATGAAAATCTAGGGTCGACAGTTTTCCCGTCTAATTCAAAGTCGGAAGCCATTAGATGACGCCAATACGACAAAATCCTATACTTGTCACACTAGTAGTTACAGATTTTAGGGACATTACCTTCATACTCTTAACTATAAAATACCAAGAGTAGTTATTTAACTCGTTCGTTTTTTTAGCCACAAGATTCCTCTTCCAAATGCAGCCTCCGTAATAGAAAAAAACATATTTGGATATAAAATACTGCGCTTAAATGTAATTCCGTAACCAACTTGAGTATAAAAATGCAAGCAACAAAATGGCTGATCTAGTTCGTTTTTATATCGACAGCATCAGCCAAAATACCTTTACAATGAACTTGTCCGTATAATTTGCACCGTCCTTTCCGTAAATGTCCACGCGTATCGTGACATTGAAATCATTAGAATCTGTTCCTCCAGGAAGACTCGTTGATATTAAATGGTTTGGGGTTGCACTTTCCAGAATAACCAGGCCAATTGAAGTAATGTACCTAAGAAAAGTACAAAGCACAAAGAAACTGGTGTTTAGATGGCTTGCCAACCAAAAGCAAAATATACTACTTACAAGAAAATATATGCATTTTTTTCATTTTCTCTTAATTATTCATTTGATATTCAACTGAAATACTCATTTGAAAGTGTTTGGAAGTACTGCTGGTTTTTGAGGATGCGGGAAAGCCCCAGTAACTGGAGAAAAACAGCTCTGATCAAGAATAGGAAGGAAAAAAAAAAGAAAAAAAGAAAAGAACTGCAAAAATCAAGCCATCGGAAAATCGAGTACAACTCACACGATAAAAAATTTATTAGCGTTATGTTTTAATGACCGAGCGAGGGTAAACGTCTCTACAGCGTTTGCGCCAAGACCATTTTGATGGTTTTTGATGGCAGGTAGGATTTGGCGCCAAAATAAACACAACACGAGTGCATCACGTGATATTTAGCGTTTTCAGTTTAGCTGCCTCTTGGTTAGCGTATTCCCTTCTGGTTCATTTCAAAGGCATAGAAGTGTGATAGGCAGCTCTTTAGTTTGGCTGCTGCTTTCGTTTATTTATTTACTTTTTTTTAAAGGTGTCATAAAAAAATTCTGGAGGCAGTTAGATTGATTTCACACAAGCTTCTCAGTGGAAAGAGCTATTTATGCCAGTTGGAGCCATAATCAGGGTAGTTGACCGCAAGCGCGGGGTCCCCGCGGTTCCATCAAAATAGCCAAATGCGCTATTTTTAGACCAAGCTGAGCCACCCTTAACGTCACAAACTTGCCCGGGAGGCCGCAAATTTGCGTGGCTTGCGTGTGAAATTTCTGGAGATGGGCATTCGTCTTGCGACTTTATTTAAGTGCTCTCTTAACTTTCTATGTGCTTTTATCGCGATAAACAATGCATGTACATTTTAAGAATGAGACAATGTTATTTCAACACTACTGCTAGAAATACCGCTTTATCGCAAAATCCTCGCGGAGCTGTAATGGGCCAGCAGTAAGAATAAAGAGAAATTAGCCAAAGGGGAAAAGTATGATTAACAAACAAACAAACAATCTAACTAACAAAACAAAACGAAACAAAAGGAAAGCAAAAAATATGCAACATAGTAAAAACGGCTAAGCCGAGAGTCGAACCTGGACCATCTACACTGAAGGTGCCACACTGCCGAGGGTGAAATGGGAAAATTATAATGTTAAAAGTACTTTTTCGGTATTCCAGAATTACACCCACAGTCGTCATATTCCGAGTTATTTTCAAAGAGGTTATCCTAAAGGTTTTGCCTCAAATTCAGAGGAGGGAATGATCGCATAAATTGAAGTTACTCATCTCCTACGGATGTAATTTCTGACGCCTTTGGGTTTGTTTATCCTTTGCTCGGTACCCTCGTAGAAAATGCGGGCGTCACAGGAGATGGGACTGTTTGTGCTAAAAATAGCCCATTTGGGGAGATTTGAGTTACGCGCCGTTGGACTTATAAGGTATAAAAAGGGAAATAGGTACAGAGCGGCAACCATTCATGAATCTCACTTCCAAATCATAGCAAACAGCATAAACTAGAGAGTCGAAGTCTCGAATCATAACTTACCTGTAAGAGAAAGTTCGGTTTTCGCATTGGTCTTGCCAACCAGCACAGTCAACCGTGAAGTTCGTAATATAAGCAACGCCCACACTCGGTGTTACTTTGCATCTGTTATTGGGAACTGATAACGGAGATATCGTCTTAAACGTTGTCTCATTGAGACTCGAGTAGTTTTTCTTGCCGTTCACTTCAATCGAGGCATTTATCTTATAATCAGTATTCTTCTCTAGCGAACATTCTCCTCCACCACGCAGAACTATTTTCGGATTATTCCGAGGTGGTTTTATTCGCTTATCTAAGTCTGTGACTTCTTTCCAATAATGGCTTCCATCAGTAAGGTTAAGTTTGAATAAATGCCACTCGTAGAGTGTAATGTTTTGGCAGAGATGTCCAGTACAGTGTGATTCTACGATCGTTTGTTTGCCTGGATCAACTGCGGTGGGGCCACAGTTACAAATGCAGCTGAGAATAAAAGTAATAATAGATAAAACAACTTTAAGGGCAACAGCATGAAGTACAACTGTAAAATTATTTAGCAATAAAGAAATAAATGGTGTTTCGAGGCCCGCCAGTAATAGTTTGACGCGTTTTGAACATCCAGTAGGGAAGCCCTTTCGTCCCAGTTGCTGCAATTGATGTGTTGAATTAAGAGAAATGCGAGAGAGTTTTGGACTCTGGATTCTACGCCGGGGATTCCTGATTTCCAGCTACCGGATTCTTGTTTCTTTATCAGTGGAACATGGAGTCCGGATACCATTCTTATATGGGGATCCGGATTCCTTAGAATGTACTCCGGATTCCAAAGACCTAGATTTCGAACTCCATAAGAAAAATCTTTCGGATTCCTCATTCCCGATTCCACAAGCAAAAAGTCCTGAATTCCGGGATCCTGATTTTCTTATTGAATCGGCTTGTAGATAGTTTTTACTGTCACGCAACGAAAAAATAAATTGGAAACCGTCCAGTGGAAGAAGACAAGAAAATGAAATGTTATAAAAGACTACTTTATAAACAATTTTTCCAGGCCTCAGGTCTTTATGGCCCACAGTTTATTTGCCAAAACGTTGCACGCACCTTTGTAGAGCTTTTTATGGAGACGCCATATTGGTGTACAGTCATGGTGCACCAATATGGCCGTCAGAAATCAACAAAAATATCTGGAGTTTCTTTTTTCTATAAAAGCTCTTTCCTTTCATTCGAGAACTAGGATACGTGGGCATAAAAATACCTTCTAATACTTGAAATGGTTATACTGCTGAAAATCAAGAGGAGAGACTTTTTTTCAACGAGATAGCGTTCCTATTTGGGTGTCACGCATTGTGAAAACTCGGAATTTCAAATTGCTGTATTTTCGAAATGAAACGAGCTACGGGAATGGAAACTTGTACAGAGGTTTACTTTTTGTTTATCTTCAACCTAGTGTAAATAAGAATTCGTAAAACCTGGATATTTTGACTTTAAATTTGATTACGTCACTGTGAAAACCATCTATTCGCTTCATCTTGTTGCTATAGTCAACAGTTTGCTGGTCAGAATATGGCTTACCTAATAAAAAATTTGGTTTCCAAATTAATGGTCAGTTGATGACTTGCGTTAAATGTTTTCTGACCACTTGTAATAATCAGCTCAAACACATATGTCTGTCCCTCCTCCATCTTGTCCACATTAACGACTAGAACATTTGTTGTAACATTTGGACGATCAGCACTATAATACGGAGCAGAAAATGTTTCATAAATTCGTCTGCAGAGCCAGGTAAAGTAGAGTTGTCCTCCTTGCTGTGGGTTATACGACAACGATCCGTTTAGTGTAATATTCCCGTCTCCTTTACTTGCGTCTGACGATCCAAAAATGCTTGCGATTGGTGGATCACGTTTGACGCGAAGGTAACCATAATCGTATCCGATGGTCCTGTTCTGTAGACGACTTCTGAAAACGTAACTTACGTAGAAGAAGACATCTTTTTCCAGGCTTCGCCTTACTTTAACAGAGTTGTTAGACCTGTTAAACGGATAAGCAAGGAATTTTTCAAAGAGTTTTGAAGGTTCGTAAACTCTAATAATATGCCATCGTCTTGATGTTGCTGATAAGCCACAGTTTAAGCGGCTGAAACTCGCAGTAAACGGAACTCCCTGCTGTCTGGGCATATGATCATATAACTTCAAATATAAATCCTGTAGGTCCTTGGTCAGGTTAAGGTTAACGTATACAAGAGGACATGTGCAGTTCTCTAGAATTGAAACAAAATAAACTTATTTAATATTTAAAGAAATGTTTACCAGTCAAGTGAAAACCGCTCTAACATTAACTGTTGTGGTTTGGAACTCGATAAAAGCAGGTTGAAAGACTGGATAGGGTGTTTTTGAGAACATGAAAACTAGTTTTGCATTTTTTCTTCAGGAAGATCAATGAGAGATGCGAAACACTTTGAAGATTTTTGACGGTTAATCCTAACCTGCATTTTTGACGTTTGACGGTAAAAAAACAACCTACTCTGACGGCTGACGGTTAATTTTAAATCCATTTGACGGCGGGCGGTAAGCTCTATTGAGACGCTCTTACAAGGACCAGTATCTTACTACGTGGTCATTAGCTATTTAGTATTAGTTATTACGATACTAATTAGTAATTAGTATATGCGATAGGACTACATGGTGTACAAATTTGAAAATAATTAGATACAAAAATTCCGAGGACAGCAAAAATGTTCCTGATTTGGCTTTCAGATGATTTTTTTTACAACAATTATTTCCAAATTTGACAAGCATGCATCCCACTTAATTATTTTTATATAGCTCGTTAGTTAATCCAGATTTAAAAACAGGTTATGGAACTAGCTCCCGGGCATTTAGGTTGTGGGTCTGATAAAAACAGGATATGGATAAGTAACATATTCGATTGTTGCTGTTACCTGTGTCCACTATCTCCAGGAGACTATCATTAAACGGGTGTACCATAGTTTTTCGAAACTTTATTTCTTCTATCAACTTATCCTTTACCGAACAGTTTGTAGTGAACACTATTATATCTGCCATGAGCTCCACCAAATAGGGTCTCTCAGAGCGTCTTGTCTGGGCACTAGGAAAATAAAAGACTGCTTTGAGAATATATTTCGTTCTTGAGTGTACAAAAGCATTAACTTCTACACAATGAACCCAACTTCGTATGACAAATTAATTACTGCGCTTTTCACAGACATGCGAATTATGAAGTTCAAAAGCCAACTAACGATTGGGTTTTTCGCTGCCGTCAATCATCTTAACGGACCTCTTAGGAAACAAAACTTTACTTTAACGGGTACAAAAGGTCATGGTTTGTGATTTGTGATCGGTGAATTTGGATCCGTTTATGTGTTTCTGTCTTTCAAGGTTCGTTGCTTGTGATCGTAATTATGATTGACGGCACCTAAAAACGCAATTGTGAAGGCGGCTTTTGAACTTTAGAGTTCGCATGTTTGTGAAAAGCGCAGTAAGGAAAATGTAACGAAAGTCTACAAGAAAACGAACGATGACCTAGTAGATGCATTAGATGCTCAATTAGCTAAACTAGCCAAACAACTTAAACTTGACAACCGCATCGGGAAATTAATTAGCTTAAAGACCACAAGCCCAATTTCCAATACCACTCTAACTAAAAAGATCGTCGATGAAATAGACACTTCTATCATCAGCAGCACGTGATTCAATCACTGGAAGAACACGTCCAGCGTCTTGAAATGGTTCAACGCCTTGGAGAATAAAGAAACGCTTTCATTCATATGCTTTGATGTATGTGATTTCTACCCCTCAATAAATAAGAAGTTTCTCTCCAATAGCGTTGGACTTCGCCCATAATTTCCGACCCATTAGTAAACATGAGCGTGACATCATCATACAGGAGAAGCGTTCATTGCTATTTAGCGGTGATCACCCATGGGAGAAAAAGATTGACGTTACCATGGGATCCTTTGATGGAGCCGAGACGTGTGAGTTGGTTGGATGCTACCTGTTGTCTTTACCGAAAAATATGGCCAAAACATCGGGCTATACCGTGATCACGGATTGGCAGCTTTCAAAGAAAAGAATACAGACATCTAAGCACACAGTGAACTTCAATTACTTTCTTTCAGTAAATTGATTTAATTCACTTAGCCCTGAAATGAATGCCTCTAGTATTGCTTTGTTTATTTCTAAACTAAAGTCATTTTTTCGTAGTATATGCACACTTTAGCTCTTTAATGCTTGTGTGTAGTCTTTCGCTTCTTTCCCTTTTTTTTCTCGTTTATTCTTGCATTTTTTTTCCTCACCTTTTCTTTCACGTTTTTGCACTTACAGGTTCAGCCTTTTCTATTTTTATCCTATCTAATGATTATTTTCTATGTTCCAAACAAATTGTGTGTACTTAGAGTTAAATTGCCGATGTCAGTATGGTAATTATTAATTTGAAAGGTGGTTCGATACACAAGCCTAGCTTGTGGCTCTGTAAGTTCAATGAAACAGGAATATATCTCATATTGGCAAAACACTCTTCAAAATTCTCAAAGACTTGAATTTTATAGATCTTTTAAAACCGATCATACCTCCTATAGTTACTTAGACTTAACAAGAGGAACAGCTGGGAGAATGGCTTTAGTAAAACTACGAATAAGCAATCACAAACTAATGATAGAAATAGGCAGATACAATCAAACTACGAAGGATAATAGGCATTGTCCTTTTTGTGGATGTATTGTAATAGAAGACGATTTTCACTTTCTTTTTCATTTAGTATGTATATTCTGTGTTTTTTGGCAAAATGATAATAAAAACAATAATAATTAAAGACACGAGGGAAGAAGATTTAGAACTCGACCACATTATTATTAGTTAGGCTCGATCTCCCAAGTTGAGTATTTGTGCGGGCTCGTTTACCAGAGCAGCGGCTCGAAATCAAGCCTACGCGACGCATTACGGTGAATACCACAACAGTATAGAGGGTCTTCACTCACGTGGCCAGCATCTATGCAAATTTATTGGAACAAAAGAAATCGTAACGTTTGCATAAGAAAAGAGTTCAACTCCCATAGGATTGGTTTGGAACCCCCAAAATAGCCGCCGTTCCATTGTTTTGGGACACCAATATGGCCGCCGTGACGTCACATGAAAACACTCTCTGATACAGCAACAGCCAATGACGAAACTATCTTCTAAGCCGCAAAAAAGCATTCATCTTACCGTAAAGATTAGCAATGAAAACGCAAATGCAGCAATTCTTGTTTTGAAACAGCGGTTAACAGAAAAAATACTCTGCGCTTGCTCAACAGATTAGGTGTTTTTAATAACTTGCTTATCTTACCCGGAGCTCCCGAAAAAAACAAACAAACAAACATACAAACAAAAAAAAACAAACAAACAGAAATACAATCAAAAGCAAAGAACAAAACACAAACACACCAAACGTCGAGAAGCTAACCCACCCCTTGCCTCTTTTAGAACCCCCCACCCCCCCCTCCCCTCGAAAATTCCGTTGCCTTTCCGCGTGGGGTTGGTAAGGCGGGGGAAAGCCTTTTATGATTCCGTTTAATAAGACATTGTGTCTTAATTCTTATTTATTGTTGCCTGTTCAAACAGGGGACGTCTGTTTGAGTGCTTTCAGTGTCTATAACGTAGGGAATGGCAGTGTTTCATACCCAAATCGTAGAAGTTCAGCCAGAAGGAATCCATCCGAATCAGAACCATTAAGAAGATACTTAAACTGCGGAAGAAATAAAATAATAATAAAATAAGTGAAAATTGATCAATCAATCAATCAATCAATCAATCAATCAGTCTGCGTCTGCGCCGTCAATCCTTCTCTTTCTTTTCGCTTTAAGAGACCGCAACAGTACTTGCTAAGCCTGTTTGGACTTTCCTTTCACGGCTGTGCATGTACCACTTTTGAGGGTCTCAATGGGGTTAACTGATAGGCGTAAAACGCCCAAAAATTTAGTCGATAACCGTAAAAATGGAAAGATTTTAACCGTTAGCCGTAAATAGGGTAAAAAAGAGTTAACCGTAAAGAAATGGTTCCCTAAAGTTGTTAATTTTAAGGAAGGTGCTAAACTCACTTATGGTTGCCTTATTTATTTCCCGGCTACGTTTGACTCCGTACGCACGTTAGGCCAAGCACCTTTTAGTCGTGCACTAGACATAGGCTCCATTTCTGCCGCTCTCTCGGGGAACTACTTTTTTTCCATAGCGAAAATCTTCTTGTTGAAGATTAAAATTCAGTCCTTCGCTTTTATTAAAAACACTGGACACGGAAATTTTTGTTATTGGCCGTTTTCACACAAGAGCTAGAAATAAATGTACAGTTGCGCCCTCTACCACAGACACGCTTTCTCCGATTTTTTTTTTTTTCTGGGGGCGGCTGTTCACAGGATCTCTGAAACGGATAATCCATCTTCAAACTGTCTGTCAAAATTGACGGATAGAGTCAGGCGGATTGTTCATTCAAAATTAAAACATTCCAGTTTCTTATTAACCCTCAGACGTACACGCAAATTCATACCACCACTACCACCACCGTGGTACAAGGAGGGGGGGGGTTGGATGGAACCCCTCCCCAAAGTTTTTAATATGTTGCAGTATTTTGAAACGATTTTGCTTTCAGTGGAAAGCCTTTGACCGTCGTAACAAGGTGAGGTATATTTTATGGGTGGTGGCGCTGCTAGAGGGCTGTGACGTCAACAATGGTCGCCATCTTGGCCGAGATCTTGGATTTTACTAAGAATTAGAAATCAGGTTAAAACCGTAAAAAATGGTAATTTTTTATGCTTTAAATGAAAAGTAACACATAAATAAGCCCTTTGCATGATTTTAGCCACAAGATTTACTTTTATTGTTGAAAGAAGTTGAAAAAACATGCATTTTCACCCAAAATTGTCTTGACCACCTGCTACTTATGACGTCATATTTCGTAACCATGGAAGCTGACCATCACTAAACTTGTCGCTAAATCTTCGCGAGGGATGAACGAACAGATACTGAAAACGTCAGGTGCTGATGTTTTATCCTCTAGGAAAAAACTCAGAAACACCTCATTGCAGGGGGGGGGGGGCGGCGCGGATGCCACTCCCCCACTTGTACGTCCGAGGATATTACCTATCTGACGCGAATTGTCAAACGGATAACCCGTCTCACACGAATAATCCGTCTTTACTGTGAAAACGGCCACTTCTGTTATAACTTATAAATGAATGTCGCGCCCCGACCTTGGGTGTTCGCGTGTCTGCTTTTGCTTTTTTACAAAGATTATTTTTAAATTGACTAGTGACATTTCTATGCGTAAAATAATATTAGAAATTGAACACTTTATAAAAAGTATGATCTATCATATGTCAATTTTTTTCAAAAGAATAGCTTCATTTTATCCCGAGGTGATCGTAAGACCTTTATTTTGCTTTGAAAGTACAAAAAATGCAGGTTTATTAATATTTAACTCTTTGAAACAAAATAAATTAATCTTTAACTTTCTTGCTAACCGTAACTGAAAAAAATTAAACGATAGTCGTAAAAGAGCCAAAATTTTAGCCGATAACCGTAAAAGCCACCATCACAATGAGACCTCACTTTTCGCTATCTATTTTTTTTTAATTTAGGTAAGTTCTTGTTTGCATTGGAATAAACATTTTTTTTTCTGTTTTCGGCAGAGTTTTGGTTGGATTTGTGACCGTTTATTTATCTATTTGCAAATTGGGGTGACCGTTATATAGAAGATGTGATGGTTATTAAGGTTCTTCGTTATCAGCATAGTATTGTTTCAGTCATCGTATTTCCCCAGAGGCTGAATTTAAAGCCCTCCCATGATTTTTTAGCATCATGCTCAGTTTTTGTCCGGTATACAAGTCCCTGCAAGTAATTAAATTCGAGAACTCAATGGCAGAATATGCCAAGCTACCTTTATCAATGAGTTTTTGAAGATTATTGATATCATGGAGTTCCTAACTTGTGCCAATTTTTTTTCTAATGAAAGCTTATAATTAATCGGAAGATAAGGTCTTAAAAACCCTATTACCGAGTCACTACTTGGTCCTAGCCAATCACCGGACCGAACTGTCAAATCAGAATGCATGAGAAAGGTTGGACAAAAAAAAAGTTTACTTAATCGAAAGCCACTAAGGTGTGCGAGTTTGTAAGGTCTTATTGACGCACTTTTTGCTTTTCCATCAGGCTGATATCTTTCGTTCCCCCGCTCACTCGTTCAGTTTCTGATACATCGAAAAACAGTGCGTAAAACTATTAATTAAATCCGTACGAACGCACTTCTGATGTGATATTCTAAACTGATTATGTGAAAAAAAAAAAGAAAAAAAAAAATCTTATTACGGCAGCTTACTCGAAGCAAGTGTATCTTGAACACTAACTGATGATGACGTACCTTATTCATCACCTCAGTTTCCGTTTGCCAGTATTCATCAGAAGTGGAGTTTAATAAATCCACGGTAAAATTTTTATCAGGAATTGTTAGCCATACGTTAAAATGATAAGCTAAAGAGAAAAAACATATATATTACGCACGAGCAAACCCTATGGAAATACAAATTCCATAAACACCAGAGATTTAAAATTACCTTGCGTGTAACCTTAAGGTTAAGTAAGACATGCTGAACCTTGCACAATCATAACAATCCAAATGCAATGGAAAAAAGATTTCAGTGAAAATTCCCATGATATGTGTAATAAACAGCTCACGTCATAGAAAGTGCTTGTAGGGGGTTATATTCACTCCTTGTTTGTGTCAAAAGTCCTCACTCGTTCGTTCCTTGCTCGTTCGGGTCTTGGCATAAACAAACTCATGAATATACCCTCATACGCCCTTCTTTGTATGATGTAAACTATATTCAGGTTTTTATAAAGATTTGCTCGCTCTGGTTGGTCTAGTCGACTACGTCATATTTCCACGTAATCACCGGGCGCGAGGTGATTAGCCCAAACTGTAATAAATCTGTTTACGAGATTGAGCGCGAACTGTGAACAGTAACTACAATGAATGGAAATGAATAAATAAATTAAAGGAAACAAACCAACAACAACAACAACTACAAAAACATGAATTCTAAAATCCCTTAAAGCAATCTCGTCCCTAGAGCCTGAGTTTCTCTTATACAGCGGAACGGTCAGCGAACGATCTGGAAGAAGCCTCCGCACTCGGAGGAACTGGAGGTGAATCAATGAATAATGCAGGATATTCACTAAATGAGTAGGCAATCAGAGCGCCCGAAAAACACTATCCACTGTTTTAGTATATACTAAATATATTTATTATATAAACACCGATGAAACAACAGGTGAGCTTTCGCGCGAAAACATGATATCTTCCCATGTGAAAATATCACTGTTGCTAAGGCTAAATGATAAATCGCGCCTTTCACACCAAAAAACTACTAAAGTGAAATGGTTTGGTATTTCATTGGTGTTTATATAATAAATAGAACATTACATGGCCGCTTGGAGATACGAAATTTCTCTTTTCGTTTTTAAAAAAAATATTTCATTCGTTCGCTTATCTCCGTGCAGCCATGTAATATCCTCTATTTCTTCAGAACTCCGCGACTGAAACATTCGTTAGTCATGACGACGTACATTGCTTGCATTGGGTGCAATAAATTGTTGTTTTTGTAGTCGTAGAGCACAGCTGTTCGCAAATTTGAAAGATTCAGTAGCTATCTTTAAAAAAGAAATTGAATGACTTTCCAAAAAAAAAAAAATGAAAATGGATATTCTTGAACAAAATGCCATTGTAGTGTGGTTTCGTAATTTTATATCAAAATAAACTTTTTTCCTCATCATTTCAACTCTTGGACAAATGAACTGTCAAAATCAAATCAATGTCCCCACAGGTTTTTTGATTGGCAAAGTAACTTTCGTATGATGGACACGTTTTTATCGACCAGTCAGATATGGTTTTCTTTTTTTTCGGATTCTTCCAGAATTTTGTCCTCATTAGTGCTGACCAAAAGGATTGCAGTACCTGGGAACGAGATACCTGTAACTTATTTTGGAATAACACAAGGTAAGAGTAAAATCAATGTAATATTCTTATTGTTAAATATTTAGTGGTTAGAATTTTGCTATTGTTTGGCCTTGGCCAAGAATCATTGATTGCCTTCTATAATTAATCATAAGTCACCTTTTGTTCCATACACTTCCACTCTAAGGCAATTGTGCTTGTGACGATTCGTTGGGAGGAAGCGAATGTACCGCGCGACAATTGGTTTGGGAAGATGATGCATGTCAATCGTCGTGGCATTGCCTTGACGATAGAATTCCTGTAGCAATCGAAAAAAAGAAAAAAAAAGAAAAAAAACCGTTATAACTGCTAATCTATGTGTAAAATAGAGGGTGCACGTAACGAATAAGGTGATTCGGTCACCGTATAACGATAATTATTAAAAAGAAAAGTTTTATTACATCTCATGATAATTCACAGGAAGAAATGGACGCCATGTTTAAATCTCGATTCTCTGTGTTCTTTAATTGCACTATGTCTTTCCTTTAGTGTACAGAAATTCCAGTTCTGGTTAATCGGTCACGTGTTAATGAGATATCTAAATAATATGAACATGTAAATAATATGAATTAATATTTTATCTGTGCCCAACCCGCCTCGATTAGTGTTGCAGCTACTTTGCGGGTCAGTAGTATCTTGCAATAAGTATGCAAAGAAAATAAAGGTTGAGGTTATATCTCAACTCACAGTCAGCAAGCGACAACAAAATGATGCAAAAAAAATAATTAAATAAATAAAACTTGCTTAACAGAGCACATCTTGAAGGCGATTTAATGAACATATTTCATTTCAACTTATCAGCCATACCCTACCCCATCTTCTCTAAAAGTACTAAAATCTTGATCTTGAATGCAATTTAACCGAGTAGTGACTTCCCGGGTTTGAGCTTCGAAAAACGGGAACATGTATACTCATAACAACGGCAAATGTAACGAACAGACAAGGGAACAAGATACGATGGCTTAAATATGAATTGAAGACTTGAAAGAAATGATTTTGCAAGAAAAAGGCGACTCAGATAACACGATTAAATCTACTGTGTGCCACGAAATTCTGAAATGTCTGCAATGCATCACTAGAAGTGACAAGAGGTCTTTAAGATGACCGGCTCATGGAATGAACAGTCTAGTCAGTCAAAACATCTACCTGGTGGTATTGAAGTGCTAGGGAGTTGTTTTTTGTTTTGTTTTGTTTGTTTTTTTTAGTTGCGACGCATGGGCAAATTCAGGACTTGGTTGTGTTTTATCAATCCTATTCACACCACTTTGAGAGATGCTACCCCTTATCCTCTTTCTCGTCAACTG